GCCGCCGCCGCCAGCCGCCCGCGCAACAGCCGAGGCGCCAGCGGCGACTCAACGCACCCGACCCAAATCTCATCGCCAACTCCAATCATGAGACACGACCAATGAATCGGATCACCCGGCCGACTGTCGGCGCCGCCAGAGGCAGCGCGCCAGGGCCCTCGGGGGCCAGGGCCGAACGAGCAGCCCGCGCCGCCCGGACGCAGCGCCAGGCGAGGCTCAAGACCACCCGGCAGATCAACGAGCAGGCGGCCCAGGCCGCTGAAACCGACCTCCCGCGCCCGCCGCGGGCCGCGGCCGCCTGCCTCGGAGCAAGCCAGGCAGAGGGCGCGGCTGCTCGGCTCAAGGCACTCGCAGGCCCCGCACTGAGCGCCCGCCGCCGCCGCGAGGCGCTCAGCGAACGGCGCGAGCGTGGAGCCGCTGCAGCCCGCGGTTCGGGGGCGGCGCCGATTCGGGCGGCGCCAGTGGCGCGCCGGGCAACGGCCACCAGCGCGCGGCGAGAACTCTCGGGAAGTTGCCGACTGAAGGCAGCCTTCCCTGAAAAAGAAACTTGAGCCGCGCAGCAGTGGAGACGCAGCCGACGGCCTTCAGATATTATGGAAATTCCCATCATCGCCATCGTCACCATCATCGCAAGCATCATCGCCGCCATCATCGCCATCAGCTCCGGCGCCTCCCTCGACGCGCTTCGTGGCCCCAAAAGGAGCTCCTCCGTCGGCCCCAGAGGCGCAGCCCGCACGTGGGCGCCGCCCTCTGCTCGGCACGCCTCTCACGCGGTTCGGGGCCCTTCAGGGAGCTCCACCGAAGGCCTGACAGGCGCGGCCCGCGCGCGGGCGCCACCTCCGTTTCGGCGCACCACTCATGCTCAGCTGGATCCGGGATCGCGTCGAAGTAAACCGAACCCAGCGGCGACCTGCAGGGGGCCCAGCCGCGGCCTCGAACCTTCTGGACTGGCACCCTCGCGCTGTTTCGTGACAGCGATGAGGTACTTGCCCGGCCTGCTCGAGACCCGTATCCTCGGGCAGGGGCTGTTGCACCCTGTCCCCGAACTGGATGTTCCCCCAATTGCCGTCTTCGCGGTTGGGCACTTCCCCCGGCGCCTCCACGACGCCGCACAGGCTGTCCCCCACAGGGGTGGCAATCTCAGTCGGCGGGGCGACCTCCTTTTCGCCCCCGACAGCGGCCTTCGGCGTCGCCGTCGTCGCCAGCGACGGCGCCGGCGACGTTTCCCCCATCTCTTCGTCGCATCCGGGCGCCGCGGGCACCCGCGCGGCGCCGCGGCGGAGGCCCTCGCAAGTAGGTCTCGGCCGCTACGTCCGTCGCCCCACGCTCAACCATGTTCTTCTTCAACACCGGCCCGTTCGCTAAGTCCGGGATGGCCGCTGCCTCGTCCGGCTCCGCGAGGGTCTTGCCTGAGCGCAGCGCCGCTGCGAACGGCTGCTGGAGGCTGGAGACGACGGCGCGGCACGCGCTCGCGTAGATGCGCGCGCCCTCCAGCGACGCGCTCGCACTTCGGGGTCCCAGTCGCCGCCAAAGCCGAAGGGATCGTCGCCCGCTCCGAATGCTCCGCCGAGAAGCCCGCGACATCCTCGAAGAGGGGCCCCACGATCTCGCCCGCCAATGGCGGCGCCGGCATCCCCTGGAGCGCATTCTGGCACGCCGCCGCCGCTTCGGCGCATCAGGCGGGCTTGCGGGCCACCTCCTGGCCGGCGCCGAACCGCGGCGAGGAGTGATCCTTCTCAAAATCCGCGGTCTCCTGCCGCGGGCGGAAGGAAGCCCGTCGATATCCCCGGCGGGCCCCGCACGCAGCACTCGAGGGATGCCGCCAGCGGCAGCTCCGACACCTCGCGCCCTGCACGGCTGGTTTTTGCATGCGCAAGCGCGGCCGTCAGACCGCCGCCCACGACAGCAAGGCGCCGAGGCGGGGGCCGGCCGCGGTCGTCGCAGCGCAGCGCTGCCCAGACCTCGGCGAGGCGAAGCCACGACACCCCGCGGCGGCACGTCGCCAGGCCCTTGTCCGCGACCAGCTGCTCCAGGGCCCCGACGGACGCACTGGCGAATCGGGAGGTCCTCATCGTCGGGCCCCTGCCAACGCCGAGGAACGCCCCCGCGTTCGCGACGATCTGGTGGACCTCTAGCCGAGCGGAGAGCCGAGTGCCCGGGTCGAAGCCAGCCGCGCGCCCGGTCCAGGCCAGGGCGCGGAGGACCTGGTTGGGCACCGTCGGCCCACCAAGCTAGGCATCCCTGGCGCGCTCGTAGTCGGTGAAGTGCACGGCTGTCGTCGACCACGGGATGCTCTGCGCGCGCAGGAGCCATCGGCGCAGCGTCTCGCCCACGCGCGCGCGCGCGCGACCTCGCTGTGTCGAGGCGCGCGCGGCCCGCGATGCCACCCAGCGCCCGCCGCGGGCCCATGCAGGACCGCGCCACTCCAGCGAGGGCGCCTCCATCTCGCTGGGCAGCTGGAACAGGCGAGGCCCCCAGCGAACCCGCTCTCGGGCCTCCAGCGCGCCGCGGCTCTCCTCGGCAGCGGCTCGGCACCTCCGCGCACAGCGGCTTCCTGCCAGCGCGTGCGCCCCCCAATTGCGGGGGAACGAACTCGCGCCGTTCCTCATAACAAAGGCCAGGAGGCTCGTCACGGCGTTCTCCGGCACGGCCAGCTCGGGGTGGCCGCGCAGCGCTCGTAGCCGTGTATGCAACGGCTCCTCGTCCACCGCCTATATCGACGAACTCCTGCAGCGGGACCCGTGCCTCCTCCACGCCGAGGCCCGCGGCCGCTGCCACCTGCACGGGCGTCTCCTCGAACTCGGGCTCGCCCGCCCGCAACGCCAGAAGCGAGCCGAGGAGCCCGCGTTCGCGCAGGACCCTGCTGGCCCGCCGCCGCGCGGCGGCAAGGGCGCACGGCCCAAGGGCCAGCATCTGCGCCCAACCGTTGTTCAAAAGCGGCCGAGCGCCCGAGCCCAAAGGGCCACACACGTCGGGCAGAGAGGAGGATACACTTACGCGTTTGTGCGCGGGGGCCGATGGAGTTCGAATGATTCTGAAGGTTCTCACCCGCCAAAAACGGCCCATTAGCTCTCCAAGATAGCTCCAAGACAGTTCATGAGGCCCCAATAAGGGGGGCCCCAAGTCGACCGAAGAGGACCCCAAGATCGCCCAAGAACTTCCCAAGTGGGCCCCGAGACGGCCCTGAAGCGCTCCAAGAGGGCACCAAGACAACCCAGAGACGCCCCAAAAACTGCCTCCGAAGGCGTCGGACGGGCCAAGAGCCCCCTGGTACGGCCCAGGAGGCCCAAAGAGGCTCTCAAGTGCCCCCCCGAAGAGCCTCTTCAGAGACCCTCTCCTTCTTGTCTTCATTTTCGCCCTCCTCCTCCCTCCTCCGTCTTGTACTCCTCCTCCTCCCTACCTCGCGGACGAAGATGGGGTCGAGTTCACGACCCGCCTCAGTTCAGACCGCCCGCTGAAATGCAGCGTGGCATGAACTCGACCTCCCCCCTACCGCGTGGACGGAAAACGATGTAGACTTCAAGACCCGTCCCAGTTCAGACCAGTCGTCGGATTTGCGCTGTTCATACGCTCAGTCTCCTTCCTGTTCCGCTGTTGCGAATGCGCGGTGGCGGGGCTTGCCGCAGGCAGCTGGACACGCAGGCAATGAAGCCCCGTTCTGGGACCAACTGCTCCCGGACCTACGAGGAGATCCCGAGGTAACCGGACGGAAAGGCCCGAGTAGCCCCGGCCCCCCTCCGAAACCAACGCTGCACGGTGGAGGTTTTAGATAAGGAGACCTTCGATAAGGAACCCAGGGTCTCGCGACCGATGGGCGGCCAAACGTGGGCCACCCACCTCGCCTTGAAACAATAAGGAATGCGCCAGGGTCCGGGCCCCAGGAAGACGTTCCTTATCCAGTGCCGCCGCCGAATTTCTTCCCCATGCTCGATACGCAGACGTGTCTGGCAGGGGCCGAGGAGCACGGGGAAGAGGGGGCGCGGGAGGGGAAACCCAAGGGAGAGCCGCACAGCGACCCCCCCCACAGGGGGGCCAGACGGGACTCCGCGGGGCCTCCTTCCTCCTCCTCCTCCTCCTCCTCCTCCTCCTCCTCCTCCCCTCCTCCTCTCCTCCTCCTCCTCCTCCCTCCTCCTCCTCCTCCTCCTCCTTCCTCCTCTCCTCCTCCTCCCCCCTCCTCCCTCCCTCCTCCTCCTCCGCCTCCTCCTCCTCCTCCTCCTCCTCCTCCTCCTCCTCCTCCTCCTCCTCCTCCTTGCTCTGGGGGTGACCAGGAGCCCGCCGGCGCATCACGGGGTGCGCACGCCTGCCTCCCTCGGGGAGCGAGGGGGGGGGTCCACGCACAAGGAGGGTCTTGGGCACCGAAGTTGCCCGCCCCCTCTCCTGCTCCGCCTTCTCTGCGAGGCGGGGATTTGTGAAGGGGCCCCAGGACACACAAATAAATACACACACATACAAATATTCCCCATATCTTCCCATCTGTTCTGGGTTTCTGTCGTCCCCCCCACTTCTCATTTTTTCCCCTACTTTCTGGGGAATCGAAGATGAATTGTGTATGTGTGTTTCTTGTCCTCCTGACTTTATACAGATCCACCGCCCTGGAACCGACGTCCTGGTGCCCCAGCGGGCGGTGGATATGAACAAATTTCGGCCCCCGGGGGCCCGAATGTGTCCATATCCACCGCCTGCCGAGACTCCGAAAACTGACCCTCCAGGCGGTGGTGATGCATAAATTCCCACCTCGGATTCTCCCCCTCCTCCCAACCAGAGGACGGTCGAGGACAGATGTAGGGCATGCCCTCCCAAGGTCGGGCGGCGCACAGGTGGGGGAGGGGCAGAGGTGGGGTTAGAGGCTAATCACTCCAAGCGGCCCCTGAAATAAGCATATGTGAGCATCCAGGCGGGTTCGTTCACGAACCCCCTAACCCCACCTTGGAATAACCCCCCCTCTACCATCCCCGACAAGAGGCCTCCCACAGAGATCCCCTCCTCGCTGGCAGACGGGC